TTTGTTGAATAATAGATATCCCTTGTGGCATTCTAATCCCTTCCAATTCAATTGCAATTTCTTTCATTGTAAGCCTTTTTCTCCCACTTAAGTTCAAGCATCTTCTTGCAAAATTAGCGACCCTGATGATCTCTTCTTTCCCACCCTCTTTGGAAACTCGAGCATCAAGAATGTCAAATAAACGGTTCTCCTTCATTGCCAATATGAAATATGTTGCCAAACTTCGCCGTTCTTCTAATATGGCTGATGAGATTGGTTTTTGTCCAGTTAAAAGCTTAGCAAGAACTACTCCAAAGCTATAGACATCACTTTTTCTGTAAACTAGCATGATTGGAAGTACTCTGGGTCCAAGTATCCAAAGGTCCCTTGTACTAGTGTGGTCATATGAGTTTGATCAATGGCAACTGTTTTTGAAGTTCCAAAGTCCGACAGTTTTGCTTTGAATTTCTCGTCCAGCAAAATGTATGTGGATTTGATGTCTCGATGATAAATGGGTATAGAAGCTGCTGAATGCAGATAGGCAAGGGCTCCTGAAACTTCTGTAGCAATCCGAACACGAATATCCCAGGTAAGTGGAAACTCTTCATTTTGGTCATGGATATACTAGTAAAGGGTTCCATTGGGGACGTATTCATAAATCAGCAAGGGAACTTCTGCCTCCAAACAACACCTATGCAGCTTAACCACATTCCTATGGTTAATTTGTGATAAAATAACAACCTCATTAATAAATTGTTCAAGATTGCCTTCATCCACTACCTTGGACTTTTTAACTGCTACAATTCTACCATCAGCCAGCATTCCTTTGTATACTGTACCTTGCCCTCCTTGACCAAGGATTCGATTATCATTAAAATGGTCAGTGGCCTTTTCCAATTCCTTTGAAGTAAACAACTTCTTTTTCTCAACATTACCTTCATCACCCGAAGATAATTGTTGTTGCAATAATAGACCCCCATTTCGTTTGAAGAATTTTTCTTTAAGCATGAGTTCCTTTCTCCTCTTCACAAATTTGTACAACCACCATGTAGCACCAGGTAGAAGTAGTATTCCAATTACACCTGTACTAATACCTGCAAAGCTCAGTTGGAAAAGGTCACTTTATCAACCAAAACAAGTCACTTTATCAACCAAAACATCTGATAATTGAATTTAATGCATGGCTCGATTTAAAACCTTTAAACTAGCCTCTGAAAAAATTTAAAGATATACATTATTAAGTTTGAAAATTTTCAAAATGTAGGAAATTAAGAGCTTTGAAAGAGACATTTATTTTAGAAGATCTCAAAATTGAAAGAAAAATAATTTGGGAATTTAGGAGGAAATAGTGTTTGTTCTCATTTTCTTCAATATATTCTGGACCACATTTCTCTATTGCAGGACCAAATTCAATATTTACATAAAAATTATGTTCTGGAATTAAAGTAATCTGTTTTGGTCTTAATTTGGTACAACAATTGTATCGACTCAGTCAGGGTGTTTGTGCGTTTGTGTGAAAGAAGGGGCATACCTTTGATAATTATTCGAGTTTTCTTGTTGTCCGCGGAAGATCCTGCACAGTCATGAAAACATAATATTTAAGTACAAATCAAACAAAAATAGTTAGCAAGGCTTAAGATATGTCACAAATATATCACAATTCACAAAGTGGTTTGAGTATGCAAGGCTTAAGACATGTTTCTGTACGTATTGGGCAAATGGTTGGATAGATATGTTTTCAGTATAATTGCAGATTGATCATTTGTGTGTGCATGGATGTGAGGCTGTGAGCTAGGACCTATATATGTATGTTTGGAGGCCGAGGACATAAAAATATAAAATATGTATATGTATACCTTGACATCCATCTAACAGATACGGGTTTCCTTTATAGCCAAAATTACAAGAGCATCCGTAAGTAGAAGTATTCATGTGGTAATCATGTCTTGTTTCTCTGCAGCCTGAATGCTTTGCTTTGCATAATGGCCAGCGCATGCTATTTTCATTAGAAGACGCGGATATGCCGCTAAAAGACTCGCACACTCCTTGTGTGTCCCAATCCAGCACAGCAGGAACACGCCCCGTTACTTGCATGGCATGTCGATCTGTGGAGTTATAGTAGTCCCATTGGTGGTCCGCGATGAAGGCATAATGGCATTCTTTTTCAAGATCAGCATTATTCTTGGTATCAGTGTTAACGCTGCTCAGAGATGCATTGATGAAGCTGAGTGATGGAGGGAGTCTGGCCTGACAGATTCCTCCATAATTTAAATCCACCTTGTCCCTGCAGCTTGATATGCATCCACCTAAAAGTTTTCCTCCGTGGCCCCTCATTAAGGCCTGCTTGTCACAACCTTCCCCCGTGAAATAATTAAACCGTCGAGAGAACCAAAAAGGACTGGACAATTTCCCAAGTCCATGAACATTAGTCCGATTTTGACAATCAGAAGAAGCAAGCACTGGATAAAGGACGACAACGGTACTCTGTCGTTGTAATGAAATATCAATTTCAAGCACCTCAAGGTTGTAGCTAGTGAGGTAAGGTTTGGGTGGATTGAAAGAGTAGTTGCAAGTTATTGAGAAGTACTGGTTGGCATAGCAACCGGCTACAAACCCAAATGGGTAAGGAATGGTCACGTTGTTTCCGCATGTGTCATTACAACCAGGCTTTGCTACAGATAATGCGGATGATGATGCTGCTGCTCCTCCTGTTAACCACACTAATACTAATACCATCAACTCAATCGTCATTTTTAAATTCCCTCTCTACTTTTTCTGAGAATTAATGGAGATTCTCAGAGCTACTTTATATTATACGGGTGTTTTTGGAGAATATATATATATATATATATATATATATATATTGAGAATGCAGTAAGTGGCATGGGCCGGATATAGCTCGCTGGAATGGAATCGGGTCGAACAATTGAAGTATGGCCCATGCAAAAGTACCACGGAATGGGCCGAACCTGGAGGATCCACTGAGGAAGATCAAGCCCATTGGAAAATCAGGCCCAAAAGGAAGAAAACCCTTGAATATAGGCCCAATGTAATCAGTTAGCGATAATATTTGTAATGGTCTATAAATAGACCATTACAGGTGGATAAGGAGGAGGATTTTTTATTCTATTGAAGTGTAAGAATTCTAAAGAGAGAAAGAAGAAAGAATCTCTTGCATCTTCGATTGGCGCCATCTGTGGGAACGAAGAAGAAGATCGATTCGAGCCTGATCAGTACCATATTAGTTCAATCAAGTTTGTGAGTACACAGTTTGATTTCTGGAAGTTGAATCCAGATCAATGAGATTATAGTTTGTTCAGAGAGAATTCTTGCTTATTGTGGATTCTAAGGCATTTGCTTCGGAATGACACAATTGTGATTTGCTCAATTGCAGTCAGATCCGGTGAGTTCAAAGCTAGAAAAGTTCAGATCTAGCAAACAGTGATCACGATTCGGTGAAGTTGAGCCCAGATCTAACGGAATTTGCATCGGTGACGCTCAGACCTATTTCAGAGTTTGTAATTCATGCCTTTGCTTCGATCCGGAATCATGATAGGGGGTGAGAACTCCAATACGGTCGAGAACGTCCAGCAAGTGAAACTTGATGAGTTGATGAGCATGATCGAAGCTCTCTGGAGAGAAAATGCGAATCTAAGGACTGAAATGCAGCGTCAAGAAGCTCCAGTAATTCCGCGACCATTCCCGGTAGGAGAAGAAGGTGCACGTACCGATGTGGCACATCACGGTGAGGAGGTCGGAAACAATCCGGTAGATCCTCACCGCGAGGAAATCCGGCGAGACGGTTTGCCGCCAAATCTTTGTCGTATTGATGATCGTGAAGGATCAACTCACGTGGATCCACGGCGTGAGCAAATCAGGCGAAACGAAGCAATGACTTTTGATCCACATCAAGAAACGCTTAGCTGAGGTGAAGCAATAGAGTTGGATCATCACAAAGTTATGCCTCCATGGCGCAGAGACTTTGTTGAGGACAGATCATTCGATCCGACCTATCGACCTTCCATGACGACGTTCGATTATCACGGCTCAAAGAGGAGGTCTGTAGACCAGAGAGCAACCGCGCGGTTCCAGAGGGAAAATGAAGCACTCCGTTCAGCAGCTTGAACGGTTGATTCACCGTTCATTGATGAGATTCTGAATGCTCCGAGTCCGAGGAAATTTTCCATGCCCGTTTTCACTCTGTTCGACGGAACGACCGATCCGATCGATCATGTGTATCACATCCAGTTAAAAATGGCTCTGAACACTGAGAATGACTCTTTGATGTGCAAGTGCTTTCCTACGAGTCTAGCTGGACCAGCTCTGAATTGGTTCAAGAACCTGCTGAGGGGTTCAGTGGATAGTTTTCGAAGCTTGTGTGATCAGTTCATAAGCCAATATTATGGAAACAAGCGTCCAGTGAAAGATATTTTGAGCCTATTCACAATGAAACAACATGCTGATGAGCGTCTCCAGGCTTTCCTAACCAGGTTTAACCTTACCAAGAGCATGGTTACTGAATGTCACCCTTCAACGGCAGTTCAAGCATTTATACTAGCCATGACCCGTGGCACCCCATTCCACACAAGCTTGGTGGTGAACAGGCCGAAAACTATGGATGAACTTAATGAAAGAGCCGATGGATTTGTGTGCTTTGAAGAAGAAGAGGCGGCAAACGCTCGGAAGACATCCGTCATATCCACGGAAGAAAAGACCAAAGCAAAGATCAGGCAAAAGCAGGTTCAGCCACAGTGCTCCTCGTAGAAATCTAAGAAGAGGCCCAGAGAGGAAGAGCTGGTTACTCCATTGAAAGTTACCTTAGCAAGACTGTACCAAGAAAATAAAGATAAGTTCCGACCTCCTTTACCAATCAGACAACCCTCGAACAGAGGGATCAGTCTAAGCACTGTGCATTTCATTCTGACTTTGGCCACCAGACTAACGAATGCAGGAACCTAAGGAGACAGGTAGAGATGCTGATAGCCAGAGGGGAGTTCGCAAGTTATATTCAAGGCCCAGCGATGGAACAGAACCGACCAATGGAGCATATGAAGAGGAATCAGAAGTCGAATTCTCACAACACGCAACCAGTTCGAATAATAAATGCAATTCACGGTCGGCCAGAACCTGCCGAAGAGTCAGATGAACTGCTTCGAACACGCCTTCGCCAGGCACAGATGAAGAGAAGGATAGGTGGTGTAAACACTCTGCACCAACAGAGCGCATCAAGGCAGATAAAGTTTGACGCAACAGATCTATTGCGTGTTCAGATCCCTCATGAGGACCCATTGGTCGTAAGTTTGACAGTGGCCAAATGCTTGGTGCGCAGAGTTCTAATTGATCCTGGAAGTAGTGCGGACATTATGCCAAGGGACACATTCGATCGACTCGAGATCAAACAGGATCGGCTGAAATCCACCGGGAATCCACTACTAGTGTTTGATGGAAAACGAGTAGAGCCCGTCGGTACGGTAGAGGTAGCGGTACATGCTGCCGAAAGGGTTATGATGGAAACCTTTGTGGTTGTTGAAATTCATCCCTCTTACAATCTTCTGATGGGCAGAGGGTGGATCCACAGAGTTCAAGGTGTTCCTTCCACTCTGCATCAGGTAATGAGATGCCTGGGGCCAGACGGGACCAAAGTGATTGACATTCATGGGGACCAGGTTGCAGCTAAAGAATGTTATTCAGTAACACTGAAACATGCCGGAAAGGGGAAAGCTCCCATTCGTTCAGCAAGTCCGAGATAGCAATTACAGGAGCCTCCCTCCAAGCAGAATGGGGAAGAGGAGCCAGTGGACTTGACTGAAGAACCCCTGTGTGAAGTGCAGATCGATCAGTTCCGATCGGAACGAACAACCAGAGTGGGGAAACGACTCGCTGAGGAGAAAAAGCAGGAGTTAGTTAATTTTTTGTCTCAAAACGCAGATGTGTTTGCATGGAGTCACCTAGACATGCCAGGGATCAATCCTTTTATATCTTGTCACTCCTTGAACGTTAATCCCAATGCAAAACCTGTAAAGCAGAAGCAGCGACGGTTTGCTCCCGAGCACAACCGAATCATTGCCGAGGAGGTTGACAAGCTGCTTGATGCGGGGTTTGTAAGAGAAGTGTACTACCCTGACTGGTTATCAAATGTTGTCGTTGTGCAGAAGAAAAATGGGAAATGGCAAGTATGCATTAATTTCACCAATTTAAACAAAGCCTGTCCGAATGATAGCTTCCCGCTGCCAAAGATTGATCAGATGGTGGATGCAACTACTGGATATGAACGTTTGATCTTTTTAGATGCTTATTCAGGTTATAATCAGATTCCCATGGACCCTGCTGATGAAGAAAAAACTTCTTTCGTTACCGAACGCGGGACGTATTACTACAAAGTCATGCCATTCGGACTGAAGAACACCGGAGCAACTTACCAAAGACTTATTAGCAAAATTTTTAAGGAACAAATAGGGAAGACAGTGGAAGCTTACATTGATGACATGGTGGTACAAAGTAAGAAGAAAGTTGACTATGTGAAACATCTGCGAAACGTATTTGATGTGTTGAGGCAATATGGAATGAAGCTCAATCCAACCAAGTGCTCATTCGGTGTAAGTTCAGGCCAATTCCTGGGGCACGTGGTTAATCTCAAAGGCATCGAGGCAAGCCCTGCCCAAGCAGATGCTCTGACTAAGAATGCCGAGCCGGCGATAGTCAAAGAAGTTCAAATACTTACGGGACGGATCGCTGCACTGAGCCGGTTCATTTCCAAATTGTCAGATTGATGCAAACCATTTTTTGACACAATACTAAGCCACGGCAGGCAAGTTTGGGGGGATGAACAGCGCCTAGCGTTAACTACTCTGAAAAAGTATATGCAGAACCTTCCGGTACTGTCAGCTCCAGAATCAGGCGAAAAGTTGTTTTTATATCTCGGAGTATCCAGCATCGCGACAAGTGGTGTTTTGATCCGCTATGCAGAAGGGAAGCAATATCCAGTGTTCTATGTTAGCAAGACAATGACTGAGGCCGAAATACGTTATTCAAAGGCAGAGCGGGTGATACTCTCGCTAGTGCATGCGAAAAGAAAGCTCAGGCATTATTTTGAATCCCATCATATCATCGTTCTAACCACTTTCCCTATCAGAATAATCCTGCACAAACCAGATCTCTCAGGAAGAATGACGAAGAGGGCCATAGAGTTAAGCTCATTTGATATCACATACGAACCCAGAACAGCAGTCAAAGGGCAAGCGGTGGCAGATTTTTTACTAGAATGTGATTTAGAGGACATGGAGGAAGACCTTCGTGGTTGCTTATGGAAACTCTTCGTCGATGGATCCTCAAATCAGATGGGTGCAGGCATTGGGATCAAACTGTAGACGCCAGAAGGTACTGCCTTAAGCCAAGCGCTTCGGCTTGAATTCGGAGCCACGAACAATGAGGCGGAGTATGAAGCATTACTGGCAGGAATTAAGCTTGCCAAGGAGCTGAAGGTCAGGAATTTGACTATTTTTAGTGACTCGCAGTTAATCGTTTGGCAGGTGAAGGGCGAGTATGAAACCAAGGATGAAACGATGGAAGCATATCGTTCTGCTGTTATGCGGGAGGCCAAAAACTTTGAAAAAATTGAATTCATTCAAATTCCGAGGGAGCATAACGAGGACGCCGACCGGTTAGCATGTAGTGCCTCAGGTTCTGGAGAAACATTGGCAAGGGTGATTCCAGTGGGAATATTAAACCAGCCATCCATTTTCGAAGAACCTTCAGACTCAGATCCTTAGCAAGTGAATGTTATTCTATATGAGCCAAGCTGGATTGATCCGATCATAACTTACATCCGGGATGGTACTCTACCTGAGCAAAGAGATGAGACTAGAAAAATCAAAGCGAATGCTGCGAAGTACGCCGTAGTGCATAACCAGTTGTACAGAAGATCTTTTTCCAAACCGTACTTAAAGTGCGTTACCCCCACAGAGGCTCGGCAGATACTACGAGCTATTCATGAAGCTGTATGTGGAAACCACTCGGGGGGGAGATCTTTAGTGCACAAAGCAATGACGCAAGGGTACTTCTGGCCAAACATGTCACGAGATGCGAAAGAATTGTCCAGAAGGTGCGATAAGTGCCAAAGGTTTGGACCACTGATTCACCAACCACCTGAGGACTTGCACGTAATGGCCACACCATGGCCTTTCGCACAGTGGGGGATGGATGTAGTTGGTCCTCTACCAACTGCAAGAGCTCAGAACAAGTATGTGCTGCTAGCTACAGATTACTTTATTAAGTGGGTGGAAGCAGAGCCATACCCGAGCATTACTCAAACTCATGTGAGACGATTCATTTGGAGTAATATTATTTGCCGGTTTGGTGTTCCGAGGTCAATCGTCATGGATAATGGGACCAACCTTGACAGTAAGCAAGTAAGAGGGCTATTGGAGGAATATGGAATTAATCAAAAGCTGGCGGTAGTAAGTCACCCACAGGCCAATGGACAGGCAGAAATTACAAATAGAACAATCTTTACTTGTATCAAGAAGAAGCTAGAAGAAAAGGAAGGAAGATGGTTAGATGAGTTACCGAACGTCCTATGGGCTTACAGAACGACCCCAAGACAACCGACCGGAGAAAGCCCATTCACCATGGCGTATGGTACCGAGGCAGTTATACCAGTTGAGCACTTGGTTTCGACTGTTCGAAGCTTGGCATGGAACCGAGAGCATAATGACAGTATGTTGAGGTTTAACCTCGATTTGCTGGAGGAAAAAAGAGATGAAGCAGTGGTAAGGCTCGCATCCTACCAGCAGACGCTTGCGAATAGTCATAACAAAAAAGTAAAGCACAGAGACTTTAGACCGGGTGATCTGGTTCTGAAAAAGAAGGTGGGGAGAGTCAAAAGGATGATGCCACCATGGAAAGGCCAATACAGAATTGCAGAAGCCATAGGAAAGGGGTTATATACCTTAGAAACCATGGTCAGAAGGCTGGTTAACAAGCCTTGGAATGCTACTTCTCTGAAGAGGTATTATCAATAAAAAGTTGAATTTCAATATTGAATTTTGCTCATTTTCAATTGAACACAGGCGAATGTACAAGTTTCTGAGATTTATAAAAATAATATTCCTCTTTAAGAGGTTGACTAAGTAAAAATGGCAAAGGCCAAGTGGCAAGTGGCATTCTAGCCGAGCGCCAGGCGCCTAAGCAAAGTAAGTGGCAGCTGGCACTATAAGCCGAACACCAAACACTTGCTAAGAAATAAAAGGCCAAGTGGCAAGTGGCATTCTAGCCGAGCGCCAGGTGCCTAAGCAAAGTAAGTGGCAGCTGGCACTATGAGCCCAACGCCAAACACTTGCTAAGAAATAAAAGGCCAAGTGGCAAGTGGCATTCTAGCCGAGCGCCAGGCGCCTAAGCAAAGTAAGTGGCAGCTGGCACTATGAGCCGAACGCCAAACACTTGCTAAGAAATAAAAGGCCAAGTGGCAAGTGGCATTCTAGCCGAGCGCCAAGCGCCTAAGCAAAGTAAGTGGCAACTGGCACTATGAACCGAACGCCAAACACCTGCTAAAAAATAAAAGGCCAAGTGGCAAGTGGCATTCTAGCCGAGCGCCAGGCGCCTAATATAAGTGGCAGCTGGCATTATGAGCCGAACGCCAAACACTTGCTAAGAAATAAAAGGCCAAGTGGCAAGTGGCATTCTAGCCAAGCGCCAGGTGCCTAATGTAAGTGGCAGCTGACACTATAAGCCGAACGCCAAATACTTGCTTAGAAATAAAAGGCTAAGTGGCAAGTGGCATTCTAGCCAAGTGCCAGGTGCCTAACCAAAGTAAGAGGCAGCTGGCACTATTAGCCGAACGCCAAAAACTTGCCAAAAGAAGTAAAAGAATGAAAATGGCAAGTGGCGTTCTACCCGAGCGCCAACCATTCAGCAAAGTAAGTGGCAGCTGGCACTATGAGCTGAACGCCAAAAAATTAGCTGAATGCCAACCACTGACATATAGGAAAGAACCAGATCAGATCATTGAAACAAAGAGTTTACATAAAGAGTTTAATCAGAAGTCGGCCATCTCATTAATAATAAAGTTCAAAAAGTTACAAAAATGATGAGGTATACAGATGGAAAATATATAAAAGAAGGAAAGTCAATACATCAAAAAAGTTCTAACTAAGAAGCGTTTGCCTCGTCAGCCTCTTGATGGTGCTGGACTGTCTCCTCATTATTGTTGGTATCACCATCCTCACGATGAGAAGAGTCAAGGTGAATGACAGAATCGTTCTGTTGAGTCCTACCCTCAATAGCGTTGGAAGAATCATTCCGCTGAGGGTTATCTTCAGCAGTAGTAACAGATGGAGTCATGGTGGACAGAGGAAGAATGTCCAAAGTCAGAGCAGCGGAAGGAGTAGGAATGATCCGAGAAGAGGCAATCTCTTGGCACTCATCAAATATGCCCTCAGCAGCAGTAGAGTCTGGATTGGCATAAACACCAGGAGGGTCAATCTCCAGTTCCTTGTCAACATCATCAGGGGTAGAACCAGTCTGACCTTCATCCGGAACACGATCGGCATAACCCTCTCGGAACCCCTGAGCATATCTGAGGGCCCCAACTCTAGAAAACCGAGCATGCAGAGCTAGCATGCCACCATTTACCCTACTGATGGTATCGAGTAAAGCATTGCGCTCGTCCAAGGCCCTTTTCTCAAAGGCCGTCCGAGCGGATTACTCATCACTCAGAAGGCGTAGTAGTTCTTCCTTTTCAGCCTTAAGGGATTCCCGCTCGGTATGCCAGACGCTCTTTTCGAGCTGCAATGCATTCCTCTCATCCTGAAGAGAGTCAGTCTCCTTCCTCAGCGAATCCCTCTCCTTTTCAATCTTACCAAGCTGAACCATCAACCCGATCTTCTGAGCAGCCAAAGCATCATTCTCCTTGTTCGCTGCATTAAGGCTGTCAGAAAGCGCACGGACCTTGGTGTTCACAAGCTCAACTTGTTTCTGCATAGCCATCATCCCGTACAGGGTCTGTAGAGATATACAGGACAACTGGTTAAACCGAGTAGATGGTTAGAAGAAAATAAGTGCAAAGACTGTATAAAGACTTATTGACTAAGAGGTAGAAGTTACCTCCATGGCAGATAAGGGAAATCGGTTGAACACTTCCCTCTGAGACAGACCTTTGGCTACCTCAATGTCCTTGGGAGTCCACATGCTCCTGTAGTAAGCCATTGCGGTCTGACCATCCCTGAACATGGTCTCGGTCGGTTTAACAGATAATCCGTCTGTTCGAATGAAGCGAGGGTTCCATGGTGCCGTTCCTGAAGCGGAGGCATG